AGAAGTATGGAGGACAGAATAAGGAACGGCTTCAATAATGATCCATACGTTGCTAATCTTGTTTTACTTATCTCATGGTTTTTTGGTGGAGGGGGCTGAAGTATTTGAAAATCAATCCCAGGCATACTTTCACCCACATTTTTTCATTATGTATCTCTAACAGGCAAGAACTGGAGAAGACCATAACCACAATGCCGTTACCACAGCTAACCAAATTAATAATTTAACATTTTTATCAAGTCTACAGTTTATTTCCTTGATGGTCTCAGCAATGTCTTTTTAGCATTGGCTTACTCAAATCAGAGCCATACAAGACCTAAACGTTGCATTTGGTTTACTGGGCATTTAAAACAACCTTTATTTACATGCACTTGACCTTCACATTAAGCCAATGGAAAATGTGTGGTCCCAGTTCACAGGAGGGGGCTGAGAGAGAGGTTAAAAAACCTTCACAAAGTCTCATTGCTGATTAGGGCCAGTCTCAGAATTTGAATTAAGATCTGCCCTAGTTCAAAGACTCCATCTCACTCCTTTCCCTTCAGTTCCCAGAATTTTTCCTATGTTGCAGAGAGGCAAGAGGGCTAGTGGTTAAGACAAAGGGTTTGGGTTCAGGTTGGCCTGGATTCCAACTGGAGCAAGTTATGTAATCTAATACTCCACTTCTCTCTGCATCTGTAAAATAAGAATATTGTGGTGATGATGGTTTGGGGCTGGTTAAGTAGAATAATACATGTCTAATAGTTAGCACAGCGCTTGGCACATAGACAGCACTCAATAAACCTTAGTGATGATTAGTGTGGAGGAGAAAGAATCGCAAAGTGTTTGCTTTTGTCACTTTGAATACAGCCTGTGTAGGACTGAGGCTGAAAGGTTGGGAAGGGGGGCAGTAGGGTGAGATTCTGCATGGGTTGGAGAAGGGGCCCTGGACATAAAGTATTAAAACAGGCGCCCCAGGAGCTCTGCAGAGGCCTTGGCTGGAAACTAGTTGGCTATCTCCACAGGGGAGAACCGGTGGGTGGCAGACAGGATGGGAGACTTGAATTTGGAATCATGTGAATGCATTAAACCTATTCCCCCCAAATGAATTGCATTTAAAAAAGACCTCTTTTGCCTCAGTAGATAGACCATCAGCCTGTGGACTCAAGGGTCCCAGGTTCGATTCTAGTCAAGGGCATGTACCTTGGTTGCAGGCACATCCCCAGTAGGGGGTGTGCAGGAGGCAGCTGGTCGATGTTTCTCATCGATGATTCTAACTCTCTATCCCTCTCCCTTCCTCTCTGTAAAAAATCAATAAAATATATTTTAAAAAAACAAACCAAAAAACCCCTCTTTTACCATAGGGGTAAGTTCTGCAAAGGGATCTAACAATTAATAATAATAATCCCCTTACTCTCTGTCTCTCTCTCTTTTTTTTTTTTTGGCAGTTCTAGGAGGACTTTGGTCATACAAGGCAGGACTTGCACTGAGACGGGGAATACTAGTATTTCAGCTGAATTAGAATTTCAAAGATCCACGGTAATGTTTTCATTTCAGCTGTTTTCCTTCTGACACTCATTCTACGAGTCCACAACCAGCACTCACAGATTTGGGATTATTCAGCCCTGGATGGTCTTCTAGCACAGGCATTGTTAAAGGCTGAATCTATTGGCTAAATAAGGCTTTTGTATGTATTGTCTGTGCATTTCCCAGGTCATTTTTGATGCTTACATCGGTTAAGACTCTGGGGACCTAATTTTCTAGAATCTTTGGGAAGGGGCACATAACCCCACGCACAAATAATCCAAGAACTTGCCTGGATACTGTTCTAAGGTCTCTACATATATTAACTCAAACCTCATAACACTACACTGTCGGTACCATTCTACCGCTCTTACTTTCAAAGAAACAGAACCCAGTACGATTAGGTAACTTGTTCAAAATGAGCCTGCGCGGCTAACCATTAGGCCACACCACCTCTCTGCTGGCAGTGGGCCAATCATGGAGGGGTTCTTTGAAGACGATACAAGCATCCTTGGCTGTGTAGCAGCAATACCCTGAGTCCCAGAGCCCCAATCCAACTCTGCAGGTATTGGTTTAGGAGCAGGAAAGACCAGGCTGTGAATTTCCGCCCTGACCTCAGGCCCTGTACTTACTCGCTGTCAGCGTCAGGCTCTTTATCTGTGCCAGGGAGGAGCTTAGATTAAAAGCCCTCTCCTCGCTTTACGCGTGTGTGGGTGTGTGCAGGGGGTGGGAGGTGGAGGGGCTGAGGTTTCTGGGCGGGGCGCTACTTTTTCCAGGTCTTGAGGGAACGGTGTTTTGAGGTTCGGTCCTGGCCCACTCCCTCCCTGGAGGTCAGGCCCCAGGCAGCGACGGCGCTCCGGCGGGGCTGTTCCTCCTCCGCGGGGAAAACGGCCGCCACCGCCGGGAGGTCTAGGGTGGGCTTTTCCTCCGAGGGGGTTAGGGATGGCTGTATCCTCAGGACGGCTTCTGGGAGGCAGGGGCAGTGAGCCGAGCCCAGAAGGTCCAGCAGGAGTCAGTAAAAAGAGGTGGAAGGGGAAGGGTGAGCGTCCCCCACCCCACCCCCAGCCGCAGAACAAAGAAGCGCGGCCGGCTTACAGTAAAGGAGGAGGAGCCGTGAGCGTGGAGAGGTCGGCGGCGGCGAAATCACACCGGAGCTGCAGGGCTCGGCTTTATTCTAAGAGCAACTGGGAGGGGTTTGGAGGAATGAAGGCAAGAGTTTGAGAAAGACTCCGGGAGGCGCTTGGGCAGAGGGGGTCGGATGGGGGTGGGGGGCCAGGAGGCTATCATAGAAGCTGCCCGGTTGGAAGATGACCGACGATGGAGGAAGGGGGAGCGGGCACCTGGCATCTGAGCCTTTCTCAGTCTCCCCAACACTGTGCGCCATCCCCGGACTTTCTCGGCGTATGTGGCAGGGCCCGGAGGGGGCTGGGCCCCGGCCAAATTCTCAATGAGAAGAGCCCAGAACCCTCTCCCCTTCGGAGGGCTCTCTGGTCCAGGCGCCCCGGAACTGGGAGAACGTATCACTGCCGAAGACGGAGAACCGTTACCCCTCGAAATACACAAGAACCTCCACCGGTTTTGGCAGCAGCGTCCTCCGCCCATGACCTCATGCTTTAAGCTCCTATATAGCCTTCCCCCGCCCAGTCCACACCCAGCGCCGAGTGGGGGGAGGGTGGGGGAGAGTGGCCAAGATCTGGGTAGCGGGAGCACCTTATTTATCCAGTGTGACTTCTGGGGAATGGGGTGCCATGATCTCCCCTTACTGCAAAAATGCGTGGTCTAACTTTCCCTCGAGCGAAAAAGACTCGCTGTCGTTTGCCCTCGATGAGCTAGATGCCTCGAAGCGGTCTGTTCAGCCGAACCATCTTTGGTTCACGTTTCCTCGATGAGAAAACACACCTGGAAATGCTGGGTCCCAGGCCGGACAGACCGGCGGCCGCGCTGTCGCGGGACCCGGGGCCGCCCTGTTCTCGCC